CCATCAATTTTTGTGCCCCGTGTTTGGAGCGCTCATTCTCCTTCAAACTAGGATGAACCTCCCAACAAACATTGCAGCCGCTGTGTACATCTCGCGCGGGGGACGACCAGCCTGTGTATCAACCGAAGACGTGTCCGGGCCATCAAACGCGCTGCCGCTCGCACCGGCCAAGACCCCCCCCCCCCCCCGCCGCTTCGGCTCTCATTCCCTGCGTGCCGGTGGAGCTATACAATGTACCGATCCGGCACGGATGCACTTACAATTTAGTTCCACGGTCGCTGGGTTTCCGACGCGTACAAGACATACGCCAGGCTCTACAAGGAGTCCGTCACCACGCGCTCGGCAAACATGGTGGCAGGTCCATCGGGGGATTCGACATTACATTAGTGGAGCCGATTGCATGACCATGCAAGGAGTCACCGCCGTCCTCGTCCCTTTTCGGATAGAGTTGATGGTCATTGTATAAGCTCTCATTAATGTATTCGTTCGTGTGACCCCTAAAGACTGTGGAAAGGTGTATTACATAGCGAAGCAGAGCGAAGCAAGGGAGTTGTGTTTTCCACAATAATTTAAGGACCGGTATACCGCCGACCTACCGGTATATACTCTTTCCATGCTTGCTGCTGGCCACACGTGGCGTGTTCCCTCAGTTCGTATGTGGAAGAACCAGCAGCAAGCAGCCAAGAAATACCTGCCTCTCCTCGTCCCTTTTCGGATAGAGCTGATGGTCATTGCATAAGCTCTCATTCATGTATTTGTTCGTGTGACCATTAAAGACTGTACGCTAATAAATATGAACCGTGAAGAGGAAATAGTGGAGAGCCTTGGCCTCAGCTCAAATATCCTGTTCGCTATAGCCGCTGCGCATAGTTTCTCTTTTCAATAAACTAGGTGGCTGTAATAAGAGATCAAATCTCTACAAGCAGCCGTACAAACATCGGTTAATGACTTAAAGTTATTTAAAGCCACTGCTAAGTTTGCAATCGACCCAAGCTTAATTAGGGTGATCGGTAGCGCTCGTTTATTTTTATAAAACAAGTCATAATAGCAGGTTGTCGCTGAAATATATAATTTATTTGGATATCTACTGCAGCTCATGACTGCAATTATCACCTCCCTGTCGGCCGATAGTGACTCTACGTATGGAGACACAACTCTAAGTCACATACTAACAAAACTGAGTCTAGCACGCGTAATTTGGCAACGCGATAACTTATTGCATTACATTACACTGAGCGAAAGGTGGTCGGTCAACAAAAGTTTTTTTAAGCTCGATAAGCTCGGTGCATCGACTGAAGTATATCACGCCTGCGTTATTGCAAGTATTGAGCCCGATGCGATCACCTTTTTAAAATTGGCTCGGTAACTGCCAGATTCGGCCCTTCAGTCACAGGTAATGTTTTGGGGGCGCCTGTCATTCCAGTAAAACTGCCAATAGTACTACACGTACGTTCATAGCTCAAACCTGAGTTTTGAGTGTTAATCATGACCGGGACCCAAATCAGCTCTTACTTAACTCTTTGGCTTTTGAGGCAAAGAAGGTGGGGTCAAATTGAGATCGAAGCTTCGAACGAGACGTAAGCTCACAAACCAAAGCAATCTACAGATAATGATAGATTTGAAATCGGGTAAGTTCGCTTTCTCCTTTTGCGTACTTGACGGCTTTCTACTGTATTTTGGAAAGACCTGGGGTACAATCCAGTACTTTTCTACTGTATTACCTGTATAGCAATTCCTCTGTAGTTTCTGGAGTTGGAGCATGGAAAGAGCAAAACTCCGAATTAGCCAAAAATAGATTCCGTGAATGCAGCAATACTTAGTTCCAGTGGAGTACATTCCTGGACACAATTATGCGGCCCCCTCGTCAAGTTCCCATTACTCAGTTATTTGACGGTGCGGTTTTCACACAAGTTGCAAAACATGCTTCAAAATAGCAAGGATGTGCTAACGCTCGCGGTTTTGCACGTTATAGGGAGGCTTACATACAAAAAAAGATTTGTCAGGCTGGACACAATTTACGGCCACCATCGGCCCAAT